CAAAAGCTAGGCAGGCACTCAGAGGCCTAGTAGGAAGTATGAGTACCTGGAGTACTAACAATGGCAGCTATATAAAAATTTCAACTAATGGGGCACCTGGGTGGCTCAGTCAGTTAAGCATCCAACTCTTAATTTTGGTTCAGGTCATGATCTCATGGGTCGTGAGGTTGAGCCCCTAGTCGTACTCTGCTGTGACAGTGTGGAACCTGCTTGGGAATCTCCCTCTCTCCCCCTCTCCCTGCCCCTTCCCTGCTTGTGCTCTCTCTCTCTCAAAATAAACATTAAAAAAATTTTTTTGAGTAAGACTTTAAGAGTTTTGATAAAAGCCCCATACATTTTGTTTTTAAAGCCAATAAAGTTAATTAAAACTGAGGCAACTAGAGTGAGTATGGCCACTAAGGAGAACAAAATGTAGATCTATGGTACTTGTAAATTGCCCACAGTGGAGCTCCTGTGCTCAATTCAAGTGTGACAGCTGACAGTGGCCAAACCAGCTCCTTCCCAAAGGCAGGTAAGAGCATATGTTTGGATCTATTTGAAAAGTCTAAAGTATTTATTTAAAATGTTCCATAGCAAGTTTATTTTAGGTTTCTTGAAGTAGTTATACCCTTAGACCCACTAACTTACAGTTTTCAGAAAAAAAAACTAAGTAAAAGTGAGATATACTGATCTGAACTATGACGATAAGACATCAAGAATGAGGACAATGAAGACTAACAAACACAAACTAACAGAATCATTACTTGCATCAAATACTATGCAGTAGAGCTTTGAAAAATACAAGGTGCTATATCATTAATCTTCATTAAAGTCACAGACTCTAGGGGCACCTGGGTGGCTTAGCTGGTTAAGCGTCCAACTTCAGCTCAGGTCATGATCTCACAGTTCATGAGTTTGAGCCGAGTCAGGTTCTGTTCTGACAGATCAGAGCCTGGAACCTGCTTCAGATTCTGTGTCTCCCCTTCTCTCTCTGCCCCTCCCCCACTCATGCTCTTTCTTTCTCAAAAAAATGAATAAACATTAAAAAAAAAAAAACCACATACTCTAAGAGCTAGATAGTTCTTTAAATATTCTCTAATCCAAGTGGGGTTCCCAAATGTGGCTGGCATTAGAATCATCCAAGGAACTTATGAAAATAAAGATCCCCAGCTTCTCCCCTCCAACACATCCAAGGATTCTGATTAAGTTGAACTTGAATGAAGCCCAGGAATCTGTATTTTAGCCGTCAATTGATTGTAATGGTAATTCATGGTCCTCAGCTATGGTCCAAGCACCCATCTAATAACAAGGAGTGGCAAAGAGACACATATTTACAAAATAAATGACAAGAAAAAAATTTTTTTTAACTTTTATTTATTGTTGAGAGACAGAGACAGAGACAGAGTGCGAGCAGGGGAGAGGCAGAGAGAGAGAAGGAGACACAGAATCTGAAGCAGGCTCCAGGCTCTGACCTGTCAGCAGAGCCCAAAGCAGGGCTTGAACCCATGAACTGTGAGATCATGACCTCAGCCGAATTGGACCCTTAACTCACTAAGCCATCCAGGCGCCCCAAGAAAAAAGTTTTTGTAAAAGCAACTCTAAAATGGTGTTCATGGGTGGCTCAGTCGGCAAGTGTCTTGGTTTTTAGCTCAGATCATGATCTTACAGTCCATAAGTTTGAGCCTCCTCATCAGGCCCTGTGCTGATGGAGCCTGTTTGGGATTCTGTCTCTCCTCTCTGCCCCTCACCTGCTTGTGCTCTTTCTCTCTCAAAATAAATAAATAAACTTTAATTTAAAAAAAAAAGAAAGAAAGAAAAAGCAACTACCAATTATACTCCTACAATTATTTAAATCATATATGTACACTTTCTGCCATTCTCCTCTCTACACCTCCCCATGGATACATGTTGAAATTAGTTAAATCTAATTTCTGGAGCCTACTAAGTGATTAGGAGGGTCATTTTAGGTTCCAAGCAGTGAAGTAACCTAGGAATGATTAGAAACTGCTGACTCATGGTGCTGGCCAGTAAATGACTCCTTCCACCAATGCTCCCCTGAAGATACATGCCAGCTGAAAGAAGATGGTCCATCTCTGGTCAAAGAAATGGGAGAAACTAATTTTATCTGCTAGAGCCTTAGGAGAAGGCAAGCTTCCAAATCACTTGTTCCCAACTACCGATTGTGCTCAACTGAAAGCTGTCAAGGGCTACAAAGATGTAGAAAAAATTCAAATAATCATAGCTACCATTGTACTTATGAATCAGCTACTGTATATTCAGCATGAGCCTCATTTCATTAAGGTGAGGAAACAGGGGCTCAAAATATTATGTAACTTATCTAGATGATAATAAAAGGCAATACAGGGATTTATATTTGAGCGTGGTTGTCTTAAAGGTCCATATACTTAATTAATCATTATGCCAAACTAAGTTTCCCAGTCTTCCAGGCAAACCGGCAGGAGATGGGAATGGGGAAGACAGGCACGGTATTAGCCTGAAGCAGTACCACACAGTCTTCAGCTAGTCTTAGCTTCCCATTACATTCACACTTCCCACCTGGGCTCTCCATTTAAGGTTAGAAAGAAGATGAATGGGGGCGCCTGGGTGGCTCAGTCAGTTAAGCATTTCGGCTCAGCTCATGATCTCACAGTTTGTGAGTTTGAGCCCCGCATCAGGCTCTGTGCTTGCTGACAGCTCAGAGCCTGGAGCCTGCTTCGGATTCTGTGTCTCCCTCTCTCTCTGCCCCTCCCCTGCTCATGCTCTATCTCCCTCTGTCTCAAAAATAAATAAAACTTCAAAAAAAATTTTTTTAATAATAAAAAATAAAAAAATAAGAAGATGAATGAACAATAACAGTAAGTAAAAAAATCACCTTGCAAATGAAAGGCCACTTTTGAAATATTAAGGAGGTTATTACTATTTATTTTGCCAGCCATTCAACTTTTATTTTTAGGAAGGGGAACAAAAATAATACTCAAATACCTTTTGAGTTTTGCCTTCAGTTTAAAATGTACGTAAAGGTACAACACTATAACTGGGAGTCTCCTTCTTAAGTTCACAAAAGAAGTATAAAGGAATTTATTAGTAAACCGGGAGAGGGGAGTGGAACTGTCAAAAACAGAACTCTGGACTGGACTTTCCAACCTCAGAACTTTGTCTCACCCAGGTACAAAGAAAAGCCCAATGCACTGATTTTACTCAAAGAATGGGGAGTGGGAAAGGAGGAAGCGTGGAAGTTTTTGAACTAAGGTTTTCTCATATGTTCCACCAAGCAAAATTAGCACAACTTCACTTTCCTTTTTTATTTTTTTTTTAAAAAAAAATTTTTTTTTTTTTCAACGTTTATTTATTTTTGGGACAGAGAGAGACAGAGCATGAACGGGGGAGGGGCAGAGAGAGAGGGAGACACAGAATCGGAAACAGGCTCCAGGCTCTGAGCCATCAGCCCAGAGCCCGACGCGGGGCTCGAACTCACGGACCGCAAGATCGTGACCTGGCTGAAGTCGGACGCTTAACCGACTGCGCCACCCAGGCGCCCCGTCACTTTCCTTTTTTAACCAGGTGGGGTTTTTTTCCACCAAGATAGTAAGGAACTATTTTGAGCAGTTATTTCTCAGAAAAGTTAGAACTCTATGTCAGAAAACCAAGTGGCAGTGTCCCACCATGATGCTACTAGTATGAACCTGTTGCTGGTACTACAAAAATGAACTGTGCACACATAACTGGCTAGTGTCAGTACCCAGGAAAAGAGGAAGATGCTGTGCTTTCTAAGCTACGTCCAGCTTTGCCTGGGGCCTACAAAACTTACCAAAATAATTTTTTCTAGGTAATTTTATTTTCTTCTATATACTCAACTATAACGTCCAAAAAATTTAAGTGAGCATTTTGCTTTAATATCCATAATACATATATACATAAAATTGACTGGAACAGTCTAAGGGAGCTTTTCAAAAGAAGGCATTCCAGGCGAGAATAACAACTGAAGGAAGGCCAAGGGGTGGGGAAAAGTGGGAGGTATGGAAGGAACATAGTAATATAAAGCAATAAAATCTGCAACTGGAAAGCCAATTAATAAAGACACTAAGTGACAATTTTGCCTGTCTATAAAGTGAGTGAAATTATCCAAAATGCTTTTTATAGGCAGATGGCCAGCTAAACTTACTGAGAGGAACATTTACATACCACTGTTCTTTGCTTGTTTGGCAAGAAAACACGGATAGTGTTGCTTGTCTTAGAAGAGTCCGTAAGTTTGCCATCATCTGATGCCCGACGCTGAAAGCCAAATGGCTGAACTATTGTAGGGGAGATGCAGCTGGGGCCATCAAACACTGCATCTTTGAATCCAAAGCCATTGCTGATCGTCTTCCAGGCCCCTTGTATGTGCTCCATTGATGCAGCTTACACAACACTTAAACCTAGTTAAAAAAAAGACAAAAATTTAATTCTAGAAAAAAGCAACTCAACAACATAGAGTAATTGTGAAAATAGTAGTATGTGGACGTTCTCATAAGTAACACCCTCTGCTTAACTCAATTAATCAAAAACTTTTATGTTAGTATATTTCCATAAAATATTTCATAGACAACTCAAAAACGAGAATAGGGAATAGGGATCAAAAGATGTATCAAGGGTTATACCACCAGTTATACCAACCTGGAACATGGGCCCAGCCAGGTTTCCTGACTTCTAGTCTAACACTTTTTAAATTACATTTCTCTTCTTCTTTAGTTATTATATTTTAAGTGTGAGTGACTACCTTTGCATATCAGTAACATGTGAAATTTAAACAGGTGAAATTTTTTAAAAAAATGTGTAAGCCATAATTTTCTGCCTTAAAGGAAGAAAAAGAAATTAGTATGTCTAGGATGTGTATTAGACACTGATATAAAAATTATCTCATTTAATTTTTTATGAAGATCCCAAATATTTTAAATTCCTTCCTCCATCCACTCTTTAAACAAGGCACAGAAAAATCACCACTACTTGCTGAAGAGCACCCAGGTGATAGGTAAAATAACCAGATATACATATGTTTAAATTTAAAGTCCATAAACTTTCCACCACAACATTCACATTTCAGTTTTGGTACAAAAATGAAGCTTACAAACAGGAGCAAGCAGAGACAGTCACCGAACCAAAAATAACCAAATGTTTTAACTGGGCAAAAAGAAAACTGCAACAGTAGTCCACACTCACACAATGGTGCTAAGACAAAGAGTGTGCAGTCAGGACACACAACACCCTGACACTGACTGGGAGTCAGCAATCATGCAGAAGTGAGGTTTATCTCCTTCTTTAGAAAAGGGTGAGATTGACAGAGAATCCCATCCTTCTCACACCTTTCTCCCTTAGAAACTTATGTTGTCGTATTATTAGTAATACCTACCGTTTACTACTTGCCTACTATATGAGGCAATACATACTACATACATCCCACTCACATTATCCAACCTAATCCTTAGAGAAATACTCTAGGTAGGACTCGCATCCCATTTTACATCTGAGAAACCTTCAAGATTGACTTAGTATTCAATTGCACTCTAGGAATTTATCCTACAGAAGTGTAAGGCAAGTGTTTAAAGATATATGTAACAAACAATCCTAAGGAAAAAGAGAGAGGGGCAAACCAAGAAACAGACTCAAGAAACTATGGAGAACAAACTGATGGTTACCAGTGGAGAGACAGGTGGGGGGGACACAGGTGATGGGGATTAAGGAGCACACTTGTGATAAGCACCAGGTGTTGTATTTAAGTGCTGAATCACGAAATTGTACACCTGAAATCAGTATTACACTGTATGTTAACTAAATTTAAATAAGAACTTAAAAAGATACATGTATAAGCATCTTCATTACAGCACTGTTCATATCCTTGAAAAACTGGGAAACCAGGGACACCTGGGTGGCTCAGTGGGTTAAGCCTTCAACTCTTGCTTTCAGCTCAGGTCATGATCTCACAGTTTGTGAATTCGAGCCCCACATCGGGCTCTGCACTGACACCGTGGAGCCTGCTTGGGATTCTCTCCCTCTCTCTCTCAAAATAAATAAATAAATAAATACACTTTAAAAAAATTGGGGGACCAAATACTTAATAGGGAATTCAACAAATGTTAATATCTATGTGATAAATGAAGTAATTTGTATGTGCAGATGGAAAAAAGCCATCCAAGACAAAATAAAAGATGCAAAATATATTTTGAACCTTTTATATTAATCTAGAAAGAGGGAGGAAAATCTTGATTTATAAAGAGGTGAGAAAACCTACAATAATAAAGTATTAACAGTGATTGTTTCAGAAGGATTGTGAGAAATTTTTACTTTTTATGTATTACCTATCTTCTTTTTGGGGGGATCTTTTGTGTGTGTGTTTTACTATTACAACTGTAAACTTCTATAAAGCCTATTTTATTTGTCTAAGTGGGAGGCAGGACAAAATACCACAGCCTTCAAGTGTCAGGACTGTCACACATTGCCTCCCACCTCTGACATATAAACCTGAGCCCCCTTCACAATCCTAATTCTATCCCTCCATTACCATGAGGTCATTTTTTAGGGGCACCCACAGCTCTTCCTTTCCCTATATCTTTCTCCCCAACTAAGAGATGAATGAATTTAGAACCAGATGAGAGGGAGAAAGATGAAGAAAGAGGGCTCATCTGAGCATCTCACTAGCCTGAAATTATGTGGCTCCTATGATCTAGATATAGAGCACCCAGAGCAACCTTAAAGATGCAACTCAACATATTCCTCCTCTACTGAAGACTCAGAATATAAGCCAAACTCCTTTGTGAACACATCAAGCTTAAAGTCTCAGGACTTTTGAATTTCTTGTTCCCTTCACCTGGAAGGCTGACACTTTCAGAAACAAGCAAGTTGGCTTTTTCACATCATTAAAGACTTCACCTAAAAGATTACTTTAGAGATTATTTCCCTAGTCATCCCAGCCAAAATACCCCACCCTTTCCAACCCCCATCAAATAACCCTGCCTGTTTTCTTCATGGCACTTACTACTATGTTAAATTGTTCACAGATTTAGGTTAGTACCCTCCACCCTCCTTCTGCTCCACAAGGGCAGGACCCTGCCAAATCCCATTCACTACTGTATTCTTAGTCCATAATACAGTACTTAGGACATGAAGACACTCAAATATTTATTAAATGAATTAAGTTAGAGGCCAGAATGATGCTGCAAAACATAATTTTTTTATAAAACAGACCTGTTAGAACTAGTAAATGTGAATTAAATCTCCATTTAGTAGGACACCTTTAAAAAAATATCGACCACTAGCAAACGACAAACTGTAGTAATAGCATCCTAAATTTCATTGAGGAAGGGGGTAGAGACTGTACTACAAACTATTAGCTAAAGAACCCAATTACAAGACTTAAATGTGGCCTAACTCCAAAAACATACTTATTTTATGATGAATTCTAAGTCTTGTAAGCACTTAGAAAATAACACTGCCAGTACTTACTATAGAATATACTACAATAACTGTTAACCAAAAGTACACCCACTTCAATTCTCAAGTTTTAGATTACTTCTCATTCATTATTTTTATTTTTCTGTGTGTTTATCAAATTCACTTACTAGGCTATGAAGCATGTTAAGAGTGTTTCCCAGCTTTTCTCACGTCACTCATACAAAATGATGATTCTTATTTGTAAGGCATACTCAGGTCAGGTCAACAGAGAGGCTAGAAAGGCCAAGAGCCCTACTAACTGCCCTCCCTGCCCTCCAAGAGTGATAGAGACACCACTAACCTGTTCCTCATTAGAAGTTCTAAGCCAAGGTATTCCTTAACCAGTTTACTAAAGGGCACACATCTGAAAATAAGAAAAAGCTTCTAAAAACCATTCAGGATCAACCTACTTGTCTTAACTGAAGACATTCAGAAACCCCATTAATGCTACCCTCAAATAAACATTAATATAACATAAATGCAAATCTAGCCTCTGTATTTATCTCTCCCTGATATGCTGACCAAATCTCAGCTAAAATTCACATAAACACTCACAATACATATCTAGAGACATACTAAAACTAGATAGTCCAAAACAGAAATCAGCTTCTAAATGTGAAGTCTTTCACAATTCCAAGGAAAAGTTTCAAAACAAATGCATTCTCTTATGAATGGATAAATTCACTATGTTAGAAAAAAAATCATTCATTTAAAAAAAATTTTTAATGTTCATTTATTTTTGAGAGAGAGAGAGAGAGAGAGAGAGAGAGAGAGGGAGGGAGAGAGAGAGAGGGAGGGAGAGAGAGGGAAGGAGGGAGGGAGGGGAAGGGGCAGAGAGAGACAGACACGGAATCTGAAGCAGGCTCCAGGCTCTGAACTGTCAGCACAGAGCCCATTGTGGGGCTTGAACTCCTCTGAACCATGAGATCATGACCTGAGCTGAAGTCAGATGCTTAACAGACTAAGCCACCCAGGCATCCCAAAATCAATCATTTTTAAAAAGATGTATCTCCCTATAAAGGATTACTATTTCTAATATACAAAGATCTCCTAAAAATTAACAAAAACATGAACAATGCCACTGAAAAAAACAGGGAATTAAATTCACAGAATAGAAACACAAGGCCACGGGGGCACCTGGCTGGCTCAGTCAGTTAAGGATCCAACTTCAGCTCAGGTCATGATCTTGTGGTTCATGAGTCTGAGCCCCACATTGGGCTCTGTGCTAACAGCTCAGAGCCTGGAGCCTGTTTCAGATTCTGTGACTCCCTCTCTCTCTGTCCCTCTCCTGCTTGTGCTCTCTCTCTCTCTCTCAAAAATAAAGACATTTTTTAAAAAATTTTAAAAAAAGAAACACAGAGGCCATAAACATACGTGATTTGTGTATATATATACATATATATGTATATATGTATATATATACACACATATATAGTAGAAAAATGTGAAATTTGAAAAATAAAATACTATTTTTAACATCAGATTTATAAAATATAAAAGACAGAAAAGGAAAACATCCATCACAGGCATCTGAGGAAATCTACTTCTCATACTTGCTGGCAAGACTGTAAACTTAATCTAACAATCTAATAGTTTCTATTAGCCGTTTAAATATTTGAATTCATATACCATTTGACAATCTATCTTATAAGGGAAAAAAATCCAGCCAGCACTACAGAAATACCCAGCACTACTAAAGTACACCAGAATATTTACTGCAGCATTATTTGTAATGTCAATAAACTGTCAACAAACTCCCATCAGAGCCAAAGCCATAAAGCTAAACAAGAAACAACTTGAAAACTAGTTTACAAAAGCAAGACCTCCCAGGGAAGGATTGCCACCGCAACATACTGGCTAAAGGTCTAATTTAGAGAGTATTTATCCAGGGAAGCTTGTGAAGATTGTGGAGTAGGAGGATCCTA